TTCCTGTTACCTTTTGCCGCATTTTTGTGCGTTTACCCATGGGCCACTTGTCGAAGGGTTTGCAAAGCTTATATTTTTCATCTGCTCTTTTTGTCTTCTAGTGCATCTAGGACCTTGTCGTAGTGATCCAATAGTTGAGACAGACAGGAGCGACCTGTTCTAAACCCATGTTGCCCTGGGTTGTGTAACTGATGGGTTTCTAGATGGGTGGTGATCTTGCTTCTTAGGACCCTTTCAAAGATTTTTATGATATGGGATGTTAGTGCTATCAGTCTGTAGTTCTTTGCTGTTGCTTTACTGCCCCCTTTGTGGAGTGGGGCTATGTCTGCTGTTTTTAGTAACTGTGGGACGACCCCCGTGTCCATGCTCCCTCTCCATAGGATGGAAAAGGCTCATGATAGGGGCTTCTTGCAGTTCTTGATGAACACAGAGTTCCATGAGTCTGGCCCTGGGGCAGAGTGCATGGGCATGTCATTTATCGCCTGTTCGAAGTCATTTGGCGTCAGGATAACATCAGATAGGCTTGTGTTAACCAAATTCTGTGGCTCTCTCATAAAAAATTAATTTTGATCTTCAACTCTCAGTCTGGTTAGCGGCTTGCTAAAAACTGAGTCATATTGGGACTTGAGTAGCTCACTCATTTCCTTGCTGTCATCTGTGTAGGACCCATCTTGTTTAAGTAGGGGCCCAATACTGGACGTTGCTCTCGACTTTGATTTGGCATAGGAGAAGAAATACTTAGGGTTTCTTTCGATTTCATTTATGGCTTTTAGTTCTTCCCGCGATTCCTGACTCCTATAAGATTCCTTTAGCTTAAGTTCGATGCTTGCTATTTCTCTGACCAGTGTCTCCCTACGCATTTCAGATATATTGACCTCTTTTAGCCGCTCTGTTATTCTTTTCCGTCGCCTGTAAAGGAAGCGCCTGTCTCTTTCTATTTTACATCTACTCCTCCTTTTTCTTAGAGGAATAAGCCTTGTGCATACATCGAGTGCCACCAAGTTAATCTGTTCTAGGCATAAGTTGGGGTCTGTGTTGCTTAGTATATCTTCCCAGCTTATATCGGTTAGGACTTGGTTTACTTGGTCCCACTTTATGTTTTTGTTATTGAAGTTGAATTTGGTGAATGCTCCCTCGTGACTAATCTCATTATGTCGGTCTGGGGCTCCACTCATACATGTCTGAACCTCAATTATGTTGTGATCTGAGTATATTGTTTTTGATATGGTGACATTTCTTATCAGATCATCATTGTTAGTGAAGATGAGGTCTAGTGTATTCTCCAGTCTAGTAGGCTCTATTATTTGATGATGATTTTGTTATAAATAAGAGGGAATTAATGCAGTTATGTTCTATTGATTGCATTAATAAAAAAACACCTGTTTTTGTCAACTTCCTCCAAAATTTGTGTTATCCAAATTTCCACGTTCTTTAGTTTGAATACATGGAAATCAAATGACCACTGTACCCCGGTCAAGTTCAACAATCTGAAGAGTTTTTCAGGTTCCTTCATATAAAATATCCTTTGACTAGTAACAAGCACTAATGGAAAGCCAAAAAGTCAATATGACCTGGTCATGGACCAGTCCAAAGAGGCATTGGTCCTGGAATGCCCTCCCAGTATACTCCAGGTAAGGCTTGGCCTACAATATCTCTAACGTAATAAATAGCAGTCGGACTTCAAATATTTATTTTACAACTACAGTGGAACCTCTACTTACGAGTTCCCCAACGTGCGAGTTTTTCAAGATATGAGCAATTGCTCGATCGATTTTTTGCTTCCAGATGCGAGCAAAATTTCAAGATGAGAGCAGGCCTTAAGGGAGGTCCTTGTGCTGGTGAGGGCCTTTTGCTTTTGATAGGGGGAAATTGGATCTCAGTTCTTTGTTGGATTCTTATTGAAACTTGGGGAATGTATGATGGAAAATGCTTCTTTTTAAAATACACCAAAATTAAAAGAAATCAGACCATAAATAACGGAGTTCACTTCTCAGCAATTAGCCACCTCTTAGCAGTATGTTTTTGTATGGTTTTTATGGTTGTATTCTCGTTTTTTGGGTCTCACTTGATAGAATGGAAGATATATTCAGAAATAGATACGAATTTGATTGGTTTCACGATGAAAAGTCCCTTAAACTGACTCAAATTTGAAAAACTTTTTTTTTGGGCGACGTTCAAAGTAGCAATGCTCACTGTCCAAATACCTGCCCGAGGGCCATTAAAACGCAGCGTAAGTAACTTATTAGGCATACCCCATAAGTTAATAGATTTATACACAGCAGATATTTTTTGAGAACCTAGGATACCCAAAAAAAGCAAGGACTTTTTCCCTTTGGGGGTCCTTTCAATCCTTATTTATACTATAATGGGGGACATTTTTTATACAATTATTACAATAATGCAGATCTGCATAACAGTAAATTTTCTATTTTCTGTTGAATAAAAATTAAAAAATGGAAGCAAGAGTAGTTTATTATAAAAACGTACATACTAAAAACAATAATACTAAAAAATATGTATAAAAATTTGTAATACTATAATAATTGTATATAAAACGTAATACAGGGGACCCCCGCATAAAAAATCACTTCCAATGCGCCATTATGTAAGTGTATTTTGAAGTGCTTTGTACGTTTGTTGGGGGTCTGAAATGGACAATCTACTTCACAATATTCCTTATGGGGAAAAAATTCTCAGACTGGCACCTGAACATACTTCGGAGTGAAAAAAAATCGTTAACCCGGGGGGCCACTGTCTATAATAATATGTATTAATACAAACTAAATAATATGTTTTTAATCGAATACATAAAAAAATGTACATATACTATGTATAATAAGTTTGTTTTAACGCCACCCTAGATGGCGTGCATACAAAACAAAAACTCGGAGCTCACAATGTTTTGGAGCTGCTCGCGGATGAAGGGAAATTTTCGTATTTTCCTTACATTTTGTGCAGTTATTTTGCGAAATTTCTCATTTCTAACCATGGGTCCTAAGAAAGCAAATCCATAGGAGAGTGCTAAGAAGAAAAAGAGGATGATTACCATGGAGTGTAGGAATTAAGTGTATTAAGAGTTACAAAGTGTAACATTAAGAGTGTAGCAATTAAGGAAAAAGGACAAAATGAAATGAACTGACAGCATATGCTGCTGTGCCCAGCATCTTTTCTCCATCTCCAAGGTAAATGCTGTAGTACTACATAATTTCTTTACATTATTATTATTATTGCTGTTTTCCTTGTGAAACTACATAGTGATCCAATGCAGTGTGCATGGGAAGGTATTTAGTCACGACGCTGTGGTGGCCCTTATAGACCCCAACAACCACAATGGCTGCTGTGCTGCTGCTGCTGCACACTACCACTCCTCACATACATAATGACATATTTCATTCATTCTAGTGTATATATCATGTTTCTACATGATTAATATTGTTCATTATGTCATATTAGATGAAGTGTGATAGATAAATAAGCCATAGAGTTGATATTAGGGAAATATTTCAATATTTTGTCGTGCCTGGAATTCCAGTGGAATGGATTAATTCCATTTCAGTTAACTGAAATGAAAAATGACTCAACAAATGAGCAAATCGAGATGCGAGCAAGGTCACGGAACTGATTAAATTCGTAAGTAGAGGTTTCACTGTACCTGTATAACAAAATGAAACAGATGCAGATATTGAAGCCTTACTTAACTTTCTAAGAAGTCAAAGGAAACAATTAAATGGGTCTACAAAATTTCAGTCACCCACAAATTTACCATGCTCATGCTGCACCAATACAATGATCATAACCATGCAGAGGTCATGTGTAAGAACTAACATTTCCAAATCAAGTTCCAATACTCATCCAAGGTACTGTATCTTTAATATAAGCTTTAGTAATGTCCTCTGAAAAAGCAATTTCTGATGGATTAAACACTAAAGGGTAAAGTAAATATCTAGAACAGCTCATATAACAATAATTAGGTGCTAGTAATAAATAATTATTCGTACGTTAAAGGAATTCGTCAAAATCCCTTTAGCAATGGTTAGTGGTTTTACAGTAATGTTCCATATTCCTGTTTAATACATATAAAAGAGGCATTAAAGAGACATCCCTTGAAAGGTGTGCCTGATTACTCTGGCTGTGGTACCCACACTAGGCATCAACCTGGCAGCATTAACTGCCTCATCAATCAGTCTAGTAAGTCTGAGCAGAATTATTGTAGTACTGTACATTCATGAGTAACTGCTAACCCATAGGGGTCATACAGAACCAGGGGAATAAGAAATAATCTGGTTTGGTCCAATAGAGATGGTATCTTTAATTCTTTGGATTAAGAACCTTTCACCAGCATCAAGGCAACTCCTTCCAAAGGATAGAAGCCTAAACAGATTAAGCTATAGCTCTATAAGTCCCCCCTTCCCATAGTAGTGGGCATCAATACCTTAACAGATGACATTACTTAACCTTAAATCTAGATATACAGTATCTGACTAATATCAACAGTTATTTGCTAGCAACAAAATTACTGCTTATGTTACCCTTTTTACTGCTCATACTGCAAGCTCTGAATGACACCACCTGATAGTGCCACACAAAAGAACAATGAAGCAACATTCCTCAGTTCTGTCTTATGCTAATTTCTAGATTTATTCTATAAGACACCAAATTTCATGTCATTCCAATCTGTAGACTCTCATACACTCCCAATACATGAATAATTTAAATGTTTATAAGTGACTTGTAAATACAGCAGAAACATAAAAGCATTAATTTTTGTTGATATTGAATGTGATAAGCATTTAATCACATACATCCGCACAAATACACATTAGCATATTAAATATTAGTAAGAGGGAATTTGATAGGTTCATACGAGCTAGTCCTTGTGCAGCAAGACTCAGGAGCCTGACAAATCAGGCTAGAAATTGAATGGTACCAGGCCCTGTGGGCAATGATTCCTGGAACCAACTCAAATTAAAGCAGAGGTAGGAGTTAACTTTACAACTCACCGGTTTCTCTCATCCTGGGCGCTGTCTACTACATCCTCCACAACATTCTTCAGGAAGCCAAACATGCTGCTGGTTCCTCGTCTGTTTCACCTGATCTTATATTTGTTGTAAAGCTGCTCCTTGCTGGTTAAAACTATATTTGTTTAAACTAGGATATACTGTAATGCTGTAGAGGAAAAAGATATATGTACTATGAAAAACACTTGCAGGCTTTGTAAAGTGATTATAATTTTGCACTTTTTACTTAGTAGTAATTTTCCAATTTGCAATTAGCAATGATTTAGGAGTAACAACATCTGAAGATATTACATTTAAAGACCAACAAATTTACTATCACAACTGAAGTAAAATGATAGGCTGGTTAATAAAAAAATCTTCAAACCAAGAGTTGCCAAGCCAAAAATGACAAACTTGTACTCTCTAGACTGGAATGTTGCTGCATACTAATGGCCACATTTAAGGCAAACAAAATTGCAGGTCTGAAGGATGTACTACTGTACAGTACAGAGAACTTTCATTACCTGTATGAATGAAAACACCTAAAAGTCCCTCAAGCTGTACTCATGGTAATGCAGACAAGATAATTTTTTTCTTTTCTTTAAACAAATTGGCCATATCTCACCGATACAGGGTGACCTAAAGAGAAAATTAAAAGTTTTTCTTTTTAAATTTAGTAATTTATACAGGAGAAGAGGTTACTAGTCCCTTGCTCCTGGCATTTTAGTTGCCTCTTTAAAACACACATGGCTTATGGAAGAATTCTTTTCCACTTCCCCATGGAGATAAGAAATAAAGAAGAAAAAGAACTATGAAAACAGAAGAAAACTCAGATGGGTATGTAAATATATGCGTGTACATAAATGTGTAGTGTGACCTAAGTGGAACTAGAAGCAGCAAGATATACCTGTTAACCCGTGTGTTTATGAGAAAAAAAAAAAAAAAAGACACCAGCAATCCTACCATCATGTAAAACAATTACAGGTTTCCATTTCACACTTACTTGGCAGGACAGTAGTACCTTCCTGGATGGCTGCTGTCTACCAACCTACCATCATGTAAAACAATTACAGGTTTCCGTTTCACACTCACTTGGCAGGATGGTAGTACCTTCCTGGATGGCTGCTGTCTACCAACCTACTAGTACATATAAAATTATAATCTATACCTGGAAAATACAAAAGGGACTGGTTCTAAATCTGCATACTGAAATGACTCCCTGTAAGAGCAAGAAGCTTAACAAATGGTGCACAGCACCCCTAATGAACAGTAGGGAGTGCAAAAAGTACACCAGCGGATAATGCAATAAGTGTAAAAGGCCCAAGACATTTCGACACCCTTCATATACTGTATCTAAAGGGAATTATCAAATGATCCATAATTGCTCTCAAGAGGGAAGTTTAATACGTCTACAAATTTACAATATGGCCTGGTTTAACCGTATCATATTGTTGCCATATGGACAGGTGAAAACCTCTTAATATAAATAAGTACTGAGTAATAACTATAATTATACAGTGGTAAAACACTAAAGGCATGTTCCTGTGTAAACATTTCTAGCTGGTGAGATGAACCAGTCATCAAAGGAAATATAAATAGCTTCCACAGATGGTGATCACCTGGTGTGATTCATTCATTTCTTTAGGCTTTAAGGCAGGATGTAGAAATATTAATCCCGATATTTTCAACTTGTTATTTTGATTTGTTCTGAAAGTATGGTATTATTATTATTATTATAATAAAAAAGAAGCGCTAAGCCACAAGGGCTATACAGCGGAAAGTATGGTAGCTTTTACTTAAAACCACAATTACAGTTCTCAAAAAACACTTTTTGCATATACATATCTGAAACATGTAATTGCAACACCTGAGTGCTGTACATGTGTCTTATTCATGAACCTGTCGGTATTATGTATATACCTTTTAAGTTAATAATACGTGACTGACACAGTAATACCATGGAATCTTGATACAGAGATTATAACCTATAATGCAAATGCTAAATCTCTGGCTCACGTTATGGGGCTAGCCAACTTCCACTAGTGGACCCGACCACGTGACCACAACTACATCGCTCTAGTTCCTTCACTGACTGTACAACAAGAATGACCATTATCTTCCTTGCATGACAATACAGGGTATCTCTACAATTCAACTGTTAAATCTCTGGTCATCTTGTAGACATGACCTACTTCCGCTCTTGAGCTCACCCACGTGACTGTCTACTGCTGCTGCACTGTCTGGGTTTGCCCCAATTCTTCCATTCCCCATCCCTCACCAAAAGGCTACATTTTCCTTTTTCTGAATTACATTAATAAATTCCTGGTGGGCGAAATATCTCTCAACAGGAATACCCAGAAAAGGTTATGAAGTATACAAAAATAAAAAAAATCCCAGAAACTGGAGACTGACTTGACACACTCAATGAGCACACACAGGGTAATTAGACTTAATTTCACGTCAAATACAGAAACAGCAGCCTGGGTACACACTAGACCTGTACTTGGGGCATGGTGCCAACATTTTCCCCTCAACCCATCGTTTTATTACCTCTCTCTCCCCCTCTCCGGGGAATGTTTTCATGAAGAGACAAACAACTTTTTCCTAAAGGACCAAGAAACATGACAAGCAGCCACCTTCTCGTGTTAAGTTCTGAGTACTTTGTGTGGCTAAGTAGACATTGTCATTCAAAACAGATGAGAGCTGCTCGCAGCATTATGTATTGTCATATGCATATATGGGATAAAATCTAATTGAATTCCATTCCAGAAGCTTGGTATCATTCCTACCTCACCAGGACATACAAAAAACGAGCATCCAAAACTGAATAGTGAGTGAAAAGGCCTTCCTAGTACGTGCTGTTCAATTTTTGATGCATTTTTGTTGTATTTACAAAAAAAAATCGTAATATATATATTGAAGAGTTTTATAAGAGATGACTGTTGAATACTACTACTAATAATAATAAATAGTTATTGTGGATCTGGCATGAATAATTTATTATAATAAACAATTCATGAGAGGTTTATATACGTATTTTTAAAGTTTCAAAAAATCATAACGCTATCATGGCTAGGGTGGCGGCGGCAAATGCAGCAGCGCCACACCCATTCTTGCACTCATTATTTCTTTACCACTCCTTCCTCTTCGTTAACCTGCCCCTCCTCATTTTCCTCTAGTCTCTAACCTTTCCTCTTAGCCCCTCACCTTACTAAAATCCCTGCCCCCACCTCCCACTCTTCGTTCCCCTCCTCTAGTCACCTACTTTAACTAACCTCTATCAGTCATAATTACTCTCCACATCCCCTCTTCTTTTCCTTCTCTCACCCTTAGTCCCTCATCAATTCGTCACCCCTAGTTATCTACCTTCACAACCCCTTTTCTCTTTACATATTTCTTTCCCCTTTTAACTCAGTCCTTTCTCTATCAGTTTTTTCACACTTATATCCCTTCTATTAAGGCACATTCGATCCAAGGCATGGAAAGATAGGTCAGAATCTTTTTATAAAGTTCCCCACCGACATCAAGGAACCCCTTGATGACAGTAGCTACCTGAAGTCTACCTGGAGGGTATTCCGGGGATCAATGATCGCGCGGCCCGGCCCATGACCAGGCCTCCCGGTGGATCAGGGCCTGATCAACCAGGCTGTTACTGCTGGCCGCACGCAATCCAACGTGCGAACCACAGCCCGGTTGATCCCGCACCGACTTTAGGTATCTGTTCAGCTCCCTCTTGAAGGCAGCCAGGGGTCTATTGGTAATTCCTCTTATGTATGGTGGGATCCGCACAAACAAGGTTAATAACAAACTCAGTATAACTTAATAAAGCTAACTTTGGAGCGTTGTCTAATTTACACTTTATTCTTCTATAAATAAATAAATCTGGATTCTCCATGAAGATACATATATTTACAGATACTGTTTTACAATGGTAATGATTTACATGGAAATTCCTCTAGTTATACAATACACTGGCATTGTCATGTGACGTCATTACATTATTCAATTTGTAGGAATACTGAATTCCAACCATTCTCTCCTACTTTCCCCTCACTCTCCCTTACTACCTTCCCTCCTACCTCTTTCTATTTCTCCTCCCTCAGCTCACGCGAAGTGCGTTGCACGTGGTGTATCGCCTACCTCAGGCTATGATTACAGATATTAAACTTTAGTAATCAAGAGTCAAAATAGAATTATTATATTAACAAAGAAGAAATATATTAGGTAAAGGTTACGAGATTAATAATATGGTTGAGAGAGAGAGAGAGAGAGAGAGAGAGAGAGAGAGAGAGAGAGAGAGAGAGAGAGAGAGAGAGAGAGAGAGAGAGAGAGAGAGAGAGATGACAGACGAGAGAGAAATATGAGATAATTGGGTCTGGAGAGTAGGAAATACCGAAGATAAGTGGGCAGAGTATAAGAGATGGAAAAGTGGATGGAGGACCCAGCGTGAGAGGAAATATGAAGTCAGGAAGAATGGAATACTCAGACAGAGATAGAGGATGTAAACATGGAGGAAATATAGATGACAAGGCAGGAAGGCAGTAAAAAGGATGTCACATGTGCAACAGTTGGGTATCTTTATTGACTGAAACGTTTCGCCTACACAGTAGGCAGTAAGGAAAAGCCAGAAACCTTCAACTATCCCTTCTATACACTCCATTCCTTCTCACTGTATTCCGTCAAGGAACCATGCCTCAAACCTCGCAACCACACCCAGGCGAGCAACCCCTCACGAGGCTCCAACTTCACCCCTAGGTCCCAGGGAGTCACCAGTCCAAAATAAACCCAAGGGACAGCTGGGAGTGGTTGCGGCCGCCGGATGGGGAAAGGGAGTAACAGGAAATGGGGGAAAGGAGGGGATGAGAAATTAAATGGAAAAAATCGCAATAGCGCGTAAACATATAGGAAGGTAAGAAACGAGAAACAGGAACCAAGGATGAAGAAAGTGCAGTAAACGAGAAATTAGATTCCGACGTCTCCAATTAAGATAGTTTCATGATCTTACAGTAGAACCGCTGTATAGCCCTTGTGGCTTAGCGCTTCTTTTTGATAATAATAATTACAGTAGAACACTCAGGATCTAATAATAATTGATAATAATTAATGTATTCCCTGTATTCCCTGGAACGCAGGCGGGAGAGATACATGATTATATACACCTGGAAAATC